TGTTTTACTAGAAAGAAGAAAGACAACAAATGGGTAAACTAGAGCACAGTGACTGTCAGGAAGAAAATATCGGAAGTGAGCAGTATGGGAAAGACAGCTTGAGGAAGTACTCCACGACTTCACACATACCATTCCATGCTGGAAATTTCCACCTCTGAACATAATTACAGGTTTTCTAAAAGAGGTTAGAAAACAAGTTAGAAATTATTGAGCTGAAAAAAAATCCAGATTAAATATTTGCAGAACATTGTAATCTTCAACCATGGAAAATTTTAAAAGCAGATTTTTATTATTTTAATAAATTATTGTCCTTTTGTTCTTATTTTTATTGAATTTCTGCAAATTTCAAACAGTAAATCTTGATAGAAATCAAATCTTCTCCCCCATCTTCACCTCCCTACCCAATTTCATGTACTCTGTTACTTATGTAATTTCTTGTCTTTTTGGTTGTAAGCCTAAGCCTTTAATGGCTGCACCACCTCTCCAACCCATATATGTAATTTCTTTAAAAAAATGAAAATTTTATATTTTCTTTTTAATACAGTATTTTTAGATATGCTTTGAGAATTTCATATATACCTGCAATGTATTTTGATATTTATCCACACTCTCCCCTCCAATTCTTGAATCTCCATCCATGTCCCACTGCGAAATTCATGTCCTTTTCTTTTTCTTATAATCCCCAGAGCCCAGTTAGTGCTTCCTGTATATGTACAAGTGTGGGACCAGACACTGAATCATGGTCAACCCACTAGGGGCCACACTCTTAAAGAAAATTGATTTGCCCTCCTTAGCAGCCATCAACTGTCAATAGATCCTTGGCTTGGGAGAGGTACTCATGTGCCTTCCCCCACTCATGCTGGAGTTTGATCTTGTTCAAGTCTTATGTGGACAACCACAACTGCCATGTTCATGAGTGCAATATTCCTGTCATATCCAGAAAACACTATTTGCCACAGCCCTCCTGACCTCTGCCTCTTAGACAGTCTTTCTGTCATGCGTTAATTCACTCACACACGCACACACACACACACACACACACACACACACAAAAAAAAAAAAAAAAAAAAAACAAACCAATTATACATCAGAACAGGCAGAATATGACTTTTAAGTTCTGATTTGTTTATGAAAGAGTTTACAAAAGAAAAAGCTTGGTGGTAGAGGGTGAAGGATGACTAAGGGATAGGGGAGATAAAGGAAAGGAAAATAGACTTAGAAACCCAGTTCAGAGCAAATGTTAGTTCAAGGTTATAAGAAAAACTCTCAGTCGCTGGGCATTGTGGTGCATAACTTTAATCCCAGCACTTGGGAGGCAAAGGCAGGCAGACTTCTGTGAGTTCAAGGCCAGCCTGGTCTACAAAGGGAGTTAAAGGGCAGCTGAGCTAAAGAGAAACCCTGTCCCAAAAAAACCAAAAAAAAAAAAAAAAAGCAAGCAAGCAAGCAAGCAAACAAACAAACAAACAAAAAACGAAAAGAAAAAAGAAAACCTACCAGAGTGCTTTGGGAGTAGGGTTCCTGAGCCTTCTTCCCCGGGCCATGTGGAAGATAGTAACTCTGCGGTACCCTCTGTATTACTAGAGTGGCATTTAAATTCATCTCATTTCTGGTTTAGCTTTCCCTAGAGAAATAAAAACACCCTTTTATTCTCTGTTTTGGCATAAAAGCAACTTCATTAAGCTTCCTTTGGTTCTTCACAGTTTTATGACTCTTCAAAGGCTTTTTCACATAGCAGGAAACTCTTGTCTCCTATTAATTTTGGCATGATTGAAGAGACTTTGAAGAGAAGTTAAGCAAAGAGACTGAAAGTAGAAAATTTTCAAACTTTAGGTCATTTTGAAAATTGTTTTTCCAAGATCTAGAAGTTTAACACCTTTAAAAGCTCTTAAAAACACTTTTTCTGAGAAGAAAAATTATAAACATTCCTTGCCACATTAATTAAACATTTATTGTTTTTAGCTTAGGGTTTATTGGCACTCAAAACTCTATTTCATAGACACAGGGATACTTCTTCAAAGAGCCTATCACACCAAATTTTGAAGATTTAAGATACAAATGGAAACATTTGATATTAAAACCACTGCAGACAGCCAAATAAAGAATGCTGGTATATAAAAGTAGAGCAGGTCCATGTATGCATTTTAAATGATAATAAAAACAGACATGATACTGGTAGAAGTAGATGGAAAGGTTTTGTAATGCACTCTAAATTAGAACAATTGCCTTCATTCTTCAATTTTTCTCTGACTTTGTATTTCCTAAGTAAAGTCTTTGTTTCTACCAAAGATACATTTGAATTTACTTCAAGGAAAGCTTAGTAAATACGTGTGTCCCCTAAAAGACAGTCACTGAGTTGTCACATAAGCCAAAGTCTATACTTCTAGCACAGTAAGGGGGTGTTTTAGCACTGATCTTGTCATTGCTGTGCATGATAAAACCTGACACTAGGCAAAGCACAGAGGGAAGCAGTAGTCAAATTGAGTCAGAAAGCCATGGAAAGAGCACCTCGTCTACAACACATTCCAGATAAAAAGACCAAGTCTAGGAAATGGCCTTGTATTGATAGTCCAGTCTTACTTCCCTAACCAAAAGTTGTCTTTGAAGAGTCACAGAAACTGTTTTTCTTTTTCTCTCATTACCTTTTTTTGACCCATCTGTGTATGTGTGCATGTGTGTGTGTGTGTGTGTGTGTGTGTGTGTATGTGTGTGTGTGTGTGTGTGTGTGTGTGTCTGTGGGCATATATATGTATATGAGAGAAAACTTTTTGGGGGTTATCTTTCTCTTTCTCTTGTTTTCTGGGACAGATAAATGATGGGTGTGAGTGTGTATTTCTATGTATCTGTGAATGTGTTTGTATTTGTCTGTGTGTGCATCTATGTGTGTGCATGTGTGTCTGTTTCTCTGTATGTATATTTGTGTATACATATCTGTGTGTTTCTGTAGATCCCTGTATATGTCTCCGCTTCTGTGTGTCTCTGTTATGTGTATCTTTGTCTATGTATCCCTATCTGTGTATGTGTGCATGTGTGTGTGTCTGTGTGTGTGTGTGTGTGTGTGTGTGTGTGTGTGTGTGTGTGTGTGTGTCTGATGGCATACATGTGTAGGTCAGAGAACAATTTGTGGGAGTTAGTTCTCTCCTTCATGTGTCTTCTGGGGATTGAACTCTACTCGACAGGCTTGGCAGCAAGCACCATCAACGACCAAGCCATCATACCCACCCCCAATTTTAGCACCATATTCTGCTCAATTTCAGTTTTGTAACATCTACAGATAACTTGTATTATTTACCTTTTTTCTTTATATTGTTGTTTTTTGAAAATTGTCATGAATTTAAAGAGAAGTCAAAATGAAAGAGGAATACTGACAAATCATGAGTTTTCTGTGCCATTCGTATTGTTTTCTGAAAATAATCACAATTATTGCAATTTTAAAAATAATTGTCTCATATCTCTCAAGTGTCAGATAAACCAAACTTTGGAAAATGGTAGCAGCCCTTTCATTTCAAGATGGGAAAGTCAAACTTGGCCACATTGTAGAGCAAACCCAGAACACAGCCAGGACTTGAATTTAGACACCTGACTCTTAGTGAGGGCCAGGGTGCTACATTCTGTATTATGTCATGGTCATCACCTGTCCCCTCTGTGTGTGTGTGTGTGTGTGTGTGTGTGTGCATGCGTGCAAGCGTGCATGTGGAGGCCAGAGAAGACTGCTCGTCATGTAATTATTCATTGCTATGGAGACATTTTAATGTAAGAAGTGAACTCAAACCAGAGAGTTCTGGAGGTTTAAGATCTCTCTGGCCTAATTTATTAGCAATTGTGCCAACTTATTATGAAGTAATATGTTATTAAGTATCTTGAAGAGGTCTTTATTCATGATTGCTGCTAAATACATAGCACATAATGTTATGATAGAGGTCAAGATTTTTCTCTGATCATTTATACATATTTATATTAGAGACTCAGTAGATATTTAAAATATGGATATAAATGTAGTAGAAAAACATCAAAATAATTATCTCAACACCTTGCACAAAAAACTATAGTATTTGAAAGCATTATCATTTTTATTAATATGAAGAAATTTGGATAAATGTTCTTATTAAAAGAAAAATCTTTCCTATCAAGGCATAAAGCAAAACTCTACTGTTTCATGAAAATAAGAGTAATAGATAAAACAAAGTGATTTTGAAATGTTGCACATAAAATGACGAACATAGATGTATTGGATAAACACAAAACTTCTGAATATCTCATTTTAAACTGTCAATGAATTTTGATCAAAAGCAAGTGCATTAAGTAGATCAAAGAAAGATATTTTATAATTGGAAAAATAAAAAAAGAGGCTATTTCTTTCTTTTAAAAGTTTTAAAAAATTTTTGTGTATGAGTGTATTGGCTGCATGTATGTGAGTACATCTGTGTCATGCAATGCCACAGAGGTCAGAAGAGGGCTTCGGATTCCCCTGGACCTGGAGTTAAGGATGGTTCTTAGCCACCATGTGGGTGCTAGGAATCAAGCCTGGATCCTCTGCAAAAGCAGTCAGTGCTCTTAACCGCTGAGCCATCTCTCCAGCCCTCCAAAGAGGCTATTTCTATTGTACTGTAAATCACAGTCTAGTATTGTATATACACATAAGACCTGGAACAAAAGATGATGATATAAATTATGAAAGTTTTTGTCTGTTTTCATTTCCATTAATGTTTTTACAGTTGGTAATAACGTGATGATGAAATTTCTTAAACTGAGAGTAGATTGTATATTTAGAAATCTAGAATGACTAGCCAAAATTTCTCAAAGATATTTGACTGCCAAGAATAGGTATTTGTTAACCAAAGTCTTTGAGCTGCATATATTTTTCTTAAGAATCTTTACTATGAAAGTTATTTCAGCTCTGTGGTTGAATATAAATTGTTGACTTCATTCCAACCAGATAGCCACCACTGTCCTCACGTTACTCTGTGGCTAACAAGTATTTATCCTCTCCCTCTGTTTCACAGCAATATGAGAACTGGAGGCCCAACCAGCCAGACAGCTTCTTTTCTGCTGGAGAAGACTGTGTTGTGATCATTTGGCATGAGAATGGCCAGTGGAATGATGTTCCTTGCAATTACCATCTCACCTACACCTGCAAGAAGGGAACAGGTAAGGATTGCCCATTCTTGCTGTACACTGACTCTGTATTTCAATTAGTTTCAAGAATTCAGGAAGAATGAGTTTCATTCTTTAAGTTGCAAATCAGATATGTCCTTTCCTTTCTTGTTGTCCAAGGATATTTCGCTCTCCCTATAAAATTAAAATGTTAATTTTCAGCACTGTTCTTTAGATTTCAGATGCTTAAAATAAAAAGTGGCATTTGTATAGGAAAACTACCTAGTAATATCTTTACAAAAGGTAACTCTGGCCAAATGGCTGGACATCTTTTCATTTTGATGAAGAGAATATCGAAAAATTGCCAACAAAAATTTTGGATGTATCATGAGATAATCTTTTTTTTTTTAATAAGAAGATTTGGTGCATTTGGCCCATGTTCAACTTTCTCATTGGATTTAGGATGGAGAGCTGTGAATTGCTACCCTCCCTTATGGGGGTAAGGGAGCTGTGGTCTCCCGCAACAGTCTTCATCCAGATCTTTTACTGTTTTTGCTAACTGCTTGATCTTCATGGGCATTTGAGAGTTTAGATATCACTTTAGAGGTTTATGTTATGCGTGTAGTCCATGGAGCAAGTGTCATCCCTATATATGTAGTGAATACCTTCAATGTCCATTAACTCAAATTTATTTATAAAGGAAATTCCAGGATGAAAATTGCTTGGTTATATGTAAGCAGAAAAAAAAATCAAGAAAACTGATTTTTAAGGGCATGTTGCATTTATCATTGACTAATTTTTTTGAATTTCCTAAAACAAGTGGATATTTCAAAAAAGTTTTTAACAGTGTCTTTGATAATGATATTAAATAGCCACTAGGCCAAGACCCATCTCAAGGAACAGTACACATTGAGAGTGTAACTAAATTCAAATACAAAACCCATTTGATCTGTCTTTGAATTTAAAAATAGTAAAACTAAAAACTAAAAATCCTTTATAAAAATTCTAGGAAAGACTTTAACACCAATAATTCATGTTAGGAGAAAAAGAACCCTATGCACCACAAAGCCCAGGTCAGATGAAACTCAGCTGTTATAGCAGCTACCACATTACTGTTCTCTCATCCAAGGCAGAACTTCCTCTCAGTGCACCATCCCCATAAGAAGCTTTCCGGTCTGTGCACTTCCTCTACACTTCTGCACAGAACTGATAAAAATGGAAAATTGAGTTTTGCCGGTTTTCTTTTTCCAGTGTAACAAGTCTTTAATAACCTGTTTGTCTTTATCCAAATGTCATCTTAGGCCTCCAAATAGTTGCTGGACTCAATGTGGTCTAAATATGATTTTTTTTTCTGCTAAAGCAGTTTTTCAACAGCAGCACTATTGACATTTTGAGTAGGATGTCTTTATTGTGAGGGACTGTCCAGGATTTCAAGAATACTCAGCATTATCCTTGTCCTCTAGGTACTAAATACCAGCAGCACCTCCACTCCACATCCCCTCTCCAATATGCTCACTAACCAAAAAGGTCTTTAGAAATGCCTGTATTCTCTGGGGTGGGATACAGTTTGGGTAGAAAGGCAAATTGGCTCCAGGTTAAGAACTTTAGTTTTATAGCCAAAAAGAAACTTACAAATACAGCATAATATTTTACATTTCCCACTGGGGAATGAGTTTTGCAAGATGTTAGCTCTGCTTCATTAAACAAGGAATGGATTATTTTCTCAAGGCTCTAGAGGAATTTTATAATATCAATATTTATAGGCTTTGTAAAAGGTAGTCCTGTCTCCTTTCATATAATTTAGACACCTTTAAGCCTACAGACCTAAGTCATTTTTTTCTCAATTAGCTATTAAACACAGGTAATAAAGATGTTTAATATACAGAAAAGACCTGTTTTTAAAAGAGCACCTTGCTACATGCTATCCATACATGTAGCAAGTATGGAGTATCTTGTTGGTTTTTCTCAAACATGACTCTTATCAGAGATAATGGTTGTTGGTCATGGCTTTTCCCTGTAATATTATCTCAAAACAGCAAATAATTTTGTTTTGAAAAATTTGAACCTTACAAAAGTAGGATCATACTGTATGTAATCTATAGCTTGCTTTGTTTATTATTTAACATTATTTGTGATAGTCATCTATGTTGATGTATGTAGCTGTTTGGTCTCTGTTTTTGCTGCTGTGTAAGTGATTCATCATATGATTCTCTAACATTTATTAGTTCTCCTGTCAGTGGCCATCTGGGCTAGTAGCATCTTTTACTATTATAAATAATGTTCTATGAATATTCTTAAACTTGTTCTTGGTAGATTTTTATGAGTTTCTGTAGGGCATATTTCCAGGAATGAAGATGCTGAGTCTTAAGGTATATGTACCATCAAATTTACTAGAAAATACCAAATTATGTTCCAAACTGGTTGTAGTAATACACACTCCCACCAGCAATGTGTGAGAAGTCCTGTCACTTCACAACTTCTTCAACATTTGGTATTATTGGACTTGAGAAATTTTTGGCCAGTCTGGTGGGTATGAAATGTTATCTGTTGTGATTTAATTTGCATTTTTGGGTGCTTCTTGAATATCTTTTGATGTATTTGTAGGTTATTTTTGGTTCTTTTCTAGTAAAGCTTTTATTCATGTCTTTTTGTTAGTTTTGGAAACTGGTCCCTTATCACTTCTGTTGATTTTAAGGGGTTCTTATTATATTTTTATTTCTAATTTCTTGACAGTTACATAGTTTGCAAAATATCTTATCATAGTTTTTAGTTTGCCTTTACTATTATATTATGGGTTTTTTAGATGAAGATATCTGTTAATTTTTTTAATGTTTCTTTATGATTTAAACTCTTTATGTCTTAAGAAATCTTTATGAATCCCAAAGTCATAAAGATACTTCATATTGTTTGCTCAATGTTTTATAACTTTGCCTTTTATGTTTTATGTTTAAACTATCTAGAATTGATTTTCCATGTATTCTTTGAGATAGGGAAGCAAATACATTGTGCTATATCAATACCCAATTGTCCACGTTTAAGACTGCCTTTCCTGCTGTTCTCTCATGTTGTTCTCTCAAATGTCGCGCTTATATGTTTGGATCCAATTGAAGTCTATTTTCCTAGCCTTGCCAAGCAACCATACTCAACTTAATTATTTAATTTTTAATAATTTATGTATATGTAGTTTTCAAATAAAAATACAGTTCTTTCCTCTAAATGATATAAAAAGAAGCTTCTAATTTATCAGCAAGTACAGAATCACATACAATGAATTATCTAGTTGATTATTTTTGACCATTCTATATTACTTTGGTCTCATTCTCTCAGATATTTGTTAGTAACTGGGGCCTAAATAAGCTCTTAATATTATAATAAATGCAGTATGCAGATGTAAGTTGGGTCAAGCAGAAGTAAACCAGAAGAACTAAACATTTAACTTAAACCCCAATTTGTCATTGCAAAACAATGTGACTATAAACATCCTTCTAATGTTTAAACAAATTGATTAATTATAAACTTTAAAATGCTAAGATTGAAGTGTCAAGTACTTGGTACCATGGGTTCTGGTAATCTTTCTCCTAGTGAAGATTCATATTATTTCAGGAGACATTATGGCTTGTGTCATTGACACATGGTGCCAAACCTGTTAAACTGTAGATCAGAAATGCCATTTAGGGATAATTACATTTCTGATGTTTCTATTAGGGTAGCAGAACATAGTGTTTATTTTTAATGGCTTAAAAATATTTAAAATAATTGTATTCATGCCAAATAAAACTGAATGAATATGAATTCAGTTGAATTTTTATCTTAAATTTTATAATGCTGAAATGCCTTTTACATCTAGTTATTTTATCATTTCTTCTTGTTGCTTAGTTTATTAAAGATTTTCATCATAAACTAAAATATAACAAAGTATTTTAAGCTTTACTCTTATTTACTGTTCACAAGGCTTTAAATATATATATTCATTACGGTCATTAAAACCCAAGGCATGACGGCCTAAGATGTAGCTCAAATAGATTGCTTGCCTAGCTTGCAGGGGACCCTATCCTTAAACCCCAGAATCACATAAATAAGACATGGTACCCCATGTCTGTAATGCCAACAACTGGGTGGTAGAGGCAGGAATTTCAGAAATTCGAGGTCATCCTTAGCTATAGAATTAATTCCAGGCCAGCTTGGGCTACATGAAAGCCTGTCTCAAACAAAACACACTCAAGGCAGAAATACTATTCACTTTTCTTTTGTTTCAGTATAAACTTGGAAAAAACACATAATATTTTATTTACACTTAGAAGTATATGTCTATTTTTCAAATCAATAGTGTTACAGATTATAAAATTTATTGTAGGAATGGTAGTAATAGTTACCTGCTGCAAATATATTATTCCCCAAGTCAAGATGGATAATAAAAACTGAGAAATGATGAGGAAGGTATTATCAATAGAATACTTACTGGTATGAGATGCACTTTTCAAATTTTTATTTATTTTAATTTTATGTCTACAAGTGCTTTGCATGCATGCATGCAAGTGCACCCATGCAGTGCAATTCACGTAGAGTCTAGAAGAGGGCGTAGGAGTCCTTGGAACTGGAATTAAGGACAACAGTTGTTAGTCACCATGTGGGTGCCCAGAACCAAACTCCAGTCCTCTGCAAGAGCAGCTAAAGTTCTTAACTGCTGAGCACTCTCTCCCGACCTGAGACCAGTGTTTTTTAATTTAGAATTTTTTTTTAGAAAACTGGCTCTGCCAGAAGGAGAGATGAATGTATGGTGATTTGATGCGGATGTGTTTTAATAAAAGCACAATTTAAAATGACATAATCTGAGATTCAAAATAAGCCCAGAGCCTCAAGTTAATTTAAAAAAAATTCTTTTTTTTTCAATGTTTTTTAAAGGCCTATAGATTCTGTTCCATACCTCCCATGTGCTCCCAGGTGTGGATTCATGCAGTGGAGACTGATCAACCTACCAGAAATTCGAAATAAAATAAAATAAAATAAATAAGTGAATGAATATTAATTTTTTAAAAAGACAGATAATGGAGGACATGAAAACTTGGGGTGGGGGAGGGAGTCTGAATATAATCAAAATACATTGCATGACATTCCGGAATCAAAAAAATTTAAAGGTACTAAGGAAAAAGATAAAATGTTATTTCTGTTACTGAATTCTAGACGATTGTCTTTTACAAAGATATATGGTGGTGGTGGGAACTGATTCTGACTCTTGTACTAATTAAAATATGTAGGTTGCTTGGAAATAACCCAATTTGCTTTTCCTTAGTTGCTTGCGGCCAGCCTCCTGTTGTAGAAAATGCCAAGACCTTTGGAAAGATGAAACCACGTTATGAAATCAACTCCTTGATTAGGTATCACTGCAAAGATGGTTTCATTCAACGTCACCTTCCAACTATCCGGTGCCTTGGAAATGGAAGATGGGCTATGCCTAAAATAACCTGCATGAACCGTAAGTGGTCCTTAAGAAAGAATGGACAACCGTGCTATAACAACTACTAGACTCCTACATTTTACGACTGTGGTATCGGTAGTTTAGGGTATGGAGCAAGTAATATTGTTGTTTTCTTTCTTTCTTTCCTTGTTTTCTTTCATTTAGCATCTGCATACCAAAGGACTTATTCTAAGAATTACTTTAAAAATTCCTCATCAGCAAAGGACAATTCCATAAATACATCTAAACATGACCATCGTTGGAGCCGGAGGTGGCAGGAATCGAGGCGCTGATCCCTAAAATGGCGAACACGTGTTTTCATCATTTCAGCCAAAGTCCTAACTTCCTGTGCCTTTCCTATCACCTTGAGAAGTATTATCAGTTGGTTTGGATTTGGGGGCCACCGTCTGGTCATTTGGGGCTGCTGTGCTCCCCAAACATTTTCGGCGAAAGAATTGGCATTAAAAAGAGAGCGAAAAAAAAAGAAAGAAAATGAAGAAAGTAATCATTTCCAGCCTAAGTTCTTTAGTTTCCTGTCCGCCTCCAGGGCAGACCATTTCATGTATTCCAGCCTACTGTACTATTTAAAAAGCTCAATTTAGCACCGATGGCCATGTAAATAAGATGATTTAATGTTGATTATAATCCTGTATATAAAATAAAATGTCACACCGAGTTTAGGCATATTTAATGATGACTATGAAGCTTTCGAGGTCTTTAATCATTGGTTCGGCTACTTTCCTGTAGTTTGTTTAGGCTGGAAATGGTATAATTTGCCCTTGACTGTCTGCAAGTCGGAGGACAGTTTTTCTGGATGACTAGCAAACACAATCTTGTAAATCATTGCATTCATCTCAGCCACAAGTGCTGTGCTTCCGGTGACACGGAAGCCGGGCCGGTGAGATCCTGACGGAACAAGGGACTCCATAGTGGAACTCTTTGTTGCATTCCTTTTTCTTCGCTTACAAGAAGGACCTGAATGGGGGACTTTTCTATGGCCAGCAGCATTTTTTAGGGGTCAAAGTGCTAATTATTAACTCATCCAGGTCTACTTTTTAATGGCTTTCATAACACTAACGCTGGTAAGGTTATGGATCAAGGCATTTGGAGTGGATATAGACTGAGGGCTCTGGAGGGTGGGGGATTTTTAAAACAACAACACACATGCAAAAAAAATTTTGTATATATAACCATTTTAATCTTTTATAAAGTTTTGAATGTTCATGTATGAATGCTGCAGCTGTGAAGCATACATAAATAAATGAAGTAAGCCATACGGATTTAACTTATTGGATGTTATTTTCCCCAAGACCTGAAAATTGATATAGTATGCTAGTTATTTTTCAGTGTTAGCTTTTATACTTTCTTCACAGTTTGGAACACTATAATATAGTACTTTGTTCCTGATTCAATAATGTGATGGATAGAATGCATCAAGTGTTTATTATGAAGAGTGGAAAAGTGTTTAGCTTTCAGTGAGTGGTGTTTGCCCATTCTAAGCAAGAGCATAAGGTGTAGAAATAGTGTGGGATTTTCTTCCAGTTAGATGAATTATCTGTTCAAGTTTTTGCTCCTCTTTTCCCACTGCACCCCCACCCCCAACATTTGAATACTGCAATTGCTGAAGATGACTTTGAATCATTATCAAAGGATTATATGATTTAAAGAAAAACTTATAATGGAAAGAATACATTTAGGACTCTTCCCCTAATTTCACTTAGAGCAATTTGAAGAATGCCAAATAAAATGCAAACACTGAAACCTGGTTTAAAAATTACAGAATGTATACATGGCATCCCATAAGTATGTAAAAGTTTTATGTTTTATACATCATCAAATTAATTTAAATTTTAAAGAATAGAAAAAGAGCAGACTGGGGTTGGTTCTTTTTCATGAAATGTCCTTTGGCTTCAGTCCTTTGGAATGATTCCAGTTCTCAAGCATACATAGTGTCTTCAAGCAAGATTCTCAGTTCCTGCATTAATTGTAACCCCTTCTTTGGTGTTCCGAAGCACAGAAAATCACTGTGTTGGCTTATTAGGGTTTAATTTTTTTCTTTTTCATTACAATGCACATAATACTTACCTGTTATTTATATTATAACATGTATAGTGTAAAATGTGAATGACATTTTTTTGTGAATGAAAATCTAAAATCTTTGTAACTTTTTATATCTGCTTTTGTTTCACCAAAGAATCCTAAAAATCCTTCTTTTACTATACTGTGACTTGTCTGGTTATTTACAACTTTAAACTCTAATGTGCACCAAGGTATTTATATTCTGGTTTCATCGCAGAGAACAAGTTTCTTGCCTGGATGAAATAATGTTACGATTAGCAAAGAGATGACTATATATACCTGTAATAACTAAAATAGAAATTCTAGCAAAGTATTTAACTTCATGCTATACATGAATCTCCGGTATGGAAAAAACACAATAGGAAAAGTTGTAGCCCATATTAGAGATGACTTTCTGTTAATAGGTTAAGTGTTTCATATGTGCTATCTCAGAACAGGCCTATGAAGATTGACATTACATTCTGAAGGAGGATCAAGGATTGTGAGAGCAAGTTCTTTGTCCAAAGTTTCACTGTGTAGTGGAGAAGATAATCTCTAGGACCTGTGTGATGTGCTCAAGAGAAACAGGAAATACTATGCTCCTGATTCTTGTGTATTTAGATGCTTAATTTGTAGCTAGATGATCATAACTATCAGAAGCTGCCACACTAGTAAATTTTCTTTCATTCAGCTATCCATCAAGATTCCTTTATTTTTTTATCCATTTACTATTTACTAAGCACTAATCGTGTTCCAGACATTGTCACAGACCCTGAGGATTCAGCAGAGAATGAGTCTGATGTCTGTGCTCATATAAAAGTTTTCACATTGGATACAGTTCATGGAATTATCTGAGAGTCCATTTTACTTAGTACCATCTTAATACTATAAAGGAATAAATTATACTTACATCTTTATAGAAAATATAATCAAGCACAAAAGTGACTCAAAGAATGTTTTGAGGTTTCTTTCTTAGGATATCAAAAGTATATAGGAAGTTGGACTTACATAGTTAGAGAAGAGATTCTCAAGCCAGGCACAGTGGCTCATAATTGTCATCCCAGCACTTGGGAAGCTGAGGCAGGAGGACTGCCATGAATTTGAGGCCAACCTGGGCTATATACTAAGTTCCAAGACAGCCAGGACTGAAGAGTAAAACACTGAAAAATAATAAGAGCGAAACAAAAGCAAAAAACTTCTTTTTCTTTCTGAGTTTTTTTCTGTTAGTGTGTAATCTGTCATTTCTTTTACATAACTTTAAATGAAAATGACTCTCATTAGATTGATAGCAACTTATTGATTGATCCAGGTACTAATCATTAAATCTGTAGGATTTCCTACACTGGGACAGAGTGTGAGACCAGCACTGCTCTTAAATCAGTAAGAGGTGGTTTCTGAATTCTTAAATGCTAAGTACCACACCAGTTGGAGGTATGTAATCTGTACACAGGAATTACCTAAGGGAAGCTGAAATAGAAAAAGTGCAAAAAGGCTATAGAAGGAAAGATGTATCACTGTAATATGTCAGTCAGGAGAACTTGCTGATCTGAATAGAGAAAAAGTAGAAGATGGCTTAGCCACGAGCTATCTGCCCTGTATAACTAACAGAAAGTTTAAAAATTACATTTTATTTATTTTATTTGTGTGTATGTGTATGTATGTGTGTGCACATGTGTGCACGTTTAGAAGTATGCATGTGCCATTGGATAAGCATGGAGGTCAGAGAACAGCTTGTAGAAGTCTATTCTCTTTCTGCCATGTGAGTTCTGGGGATCAAACCTAGGTCATCAGGCTTAGCAGCAGTTACCTTTACCCACTGTCTTAGTCACTTTTCTATTGCTGTGATAGAAACACCATTACCAAAGGAACTTATAAAAGGAAGAGTTTATTTAGCTTACAGTTCCAAAGGGGCAAGAATCCATCATGGTGGGGAGGAATGGTGGCAGAGTTGGTTGGAGTAGGAGCAGAAGCTAAGCTCTCACATTTTCAAGTAGGCACAGGAAAAAGAGACCAACTTGAGATCCAGCAAGGCTTAAGAACTCTCTAAGCCTGGCCCCAGTGACATGCTTCTTCCAGCATCTCTGTACCTTCTAAGAACTCCCCAAACAGCATCACAAACTGGGGACAAGATATCCAAATATTTGATGCCTATGGGGGACATTCTCATTCAAACCACCACACCAACTGAGCCATCTTGCTGTCCCAAACTTAGGAAGTTTTGAAATGAATAGTAGAAAAGGAAATAGATTTCAGAAGATTCAGAGTTGATTTTTGTGCATGTGTTGTGCAGGACTGTTTCCCAAGAGGAGACTTTATGAAAAAAAAAAAATGTTCCAATAAGAGGCAAACTGTGCATCTATTTTTAATGTGTTTCTTTTTAATTCACTCTAAGATTAGAAGGTTAGAAAAATGGTTGTTGAAGAAAGAGATCCATGGTGAAGGGTTAGTACCAAAATTTGTGCACAATTCTTTCCTCTGTGCTGCATCTCATATTTCCTAAACAAACCAGAAAAATTCAGTCAAATGATTCTTTTTCTAAAGAAAGTTTAGACAGAAAGTTTACAAAGGACCTTGAATTAGTCCTTCGAGATTGTGTAATCTTTTCCCATTATTACCCATTCCAGTATGTTTGAATCCCAGCTGGACAAGAAAGAGCAAATGCCAAAATAGAACAGGAATGGTTTTTGTTGAGATGTTTACAGAACAAACAAAGTCTGAGTTTTTAATTGAATTTAATTCAGAGCTTGTCTGAGTCCACCAAGAATCCCTGGCAAAGATTAAGTGAGTACTCCTCTGAGAAGGCACTGTTAAATGACTTTGATAGTGTATATTCTAAAATAAAAATTAAAAGCTAGGGACCCTACAGATTTTAAGTACCAATAACTTTTCAACATAAATTTAAACAAAATTTGTGAAGAATGCTGTTTGGACATATTTTAAATCTTAAAAATTTTAAATAAACATTTAGCATTATTCCATATGTAAATGTGGGGGGGGGATGGGGGGAGGCATATATATCTTTGTGTGGACCCATGCATATGTATGTGTCTATGGAGGCCAGAAGTGTCTTCCTTGATTGCTCTCCCCCCTGTATTTTGAACCAGGGCCTCTCACTGAGCCTGGAGTTCATCAGTTTGGTAGGTGGGCTGGCCTATGAGCTCCAGGGATTCACAGTACTCCAAGAACTGTAGTTAAAGATTTGTGCTTCTGGGTCTGGCTTTCCATGCCTGCTGGGGAGCTGAACTCTGGTTTTCTTGCTTGCATTGCAGCCACATTGCTTATTTAGCCACCCCAACCCCAACATAATTCTTTAAAAAAAAGTACATATATATATATATATATAATTGTAGATATCATAGCAGCTTAATAGTTACATATCATCATTCCTTTTAAAAACATTGAAGAAAACTGGTTTTGGCAGTCACAGACTTTGTATTTTTCTTTTCTCATTTGTGGACCCATTCATTTCGTTTTACTTCCCACCATGAATCTTATCCAAATACTAAATATGTATGCTTGAAAGTTCTCTATTTAGTAAGCTATTGATTTTGAATATCAAATATACATGCACTAAAATTTGTATGTGGAATCTGAAAGCAAAACTTTTCTTATCGTCATAAAGTTATAAAAGTTAAATATTTCCCCAAATGAGTTATCATTGTAATTTACCAAACTGTAATTTATTAGAGAAATATGAAGCCATTATAAAACCTGAAAGACAATTATTTTACTTGTATAATTTTATTAGAAAAAATTTCAACGAGGTGATTTGAGCTCTTCTTACTAAATCAGTTTTCCACGAGTAAATAATGGTGAAAACTAGACAGTGGCATGGCTTGGCAGTCTCCTTATATTCTGCTTTTAGGCTTACATACTAGGAAAATGTGTTGAGATACATAAGTACATGGGAATTCGAGTTTTATTATGCAATGCCACATAGTCTTTTCAGCTTTCTGCCATAGTAAGCTGTAAGAAGTTTTAATCACCCTCAAATGACCTCATACTCTTCTTTTTGTCATGAGTGCTTGATTTGAAAAAAAGTTGCCATTTTGTCATCAAAATAATTGATTTTGGAGGTTGAGATTTAGCTCAATAATGAGGTGCTTGCCTAGGAAGTGAAGGGTCCTGGGTTTGACCTCCAGAACTACACACACACACACACACACACACACACACACACACACGCACATACACAAACACACAGACACCTGCCTCCACAAACACACACACACACCATGCACACACAGACATACACACAGACACACACACAAATCACTGATTTTTAATTATATTTGTTCAGTATGTGTAGACCACAGTAATGCAGATCAGAAGGGATGAGTGATGTGTTTCATATTATGTTTTAAAAAAATCTTATTTGTGGGTCTTGAAGCTCAGGAAATTGCTTAGATTTGCATGCCCATGTATCTTCTGGAGAGTTGTGGGGCAATTCCAAAGCAGCCATGTCTGAACACCATTGAGTTAGAGAGTCCTTACAGGACTTTGAGGTTTTCCATGAACCATGAATCTATAATTGCAGCATGTACTTTTCATTACAAAGTGATTATTCCTTCTAATCTTTGAACAGGCCTGTGACTTCATAAGAAAAATGAGAAAGGCTTTCACTCTAGGGAAAGCTGAATAAAGTAGTATGGTTAAAAATGATTACTTCTGAAAGAAGTGAGATGAACTTTTAAATTCAGAAAGATGAATTTTAAAACCAAGAAAAGAAGCAAAGAAGATATAACATCCCAGTAATAACTTTCTAGTAAAGTGAAATTCATATTAAAAGGTGAACCGCAAATGAAGTCTAGATGAGTGATTACTTTGACATGACTTGATCTCCAAATTCCTCCAGTTCTTAGATCAGGACATCCTTGCTCATATCCACTAGTCCGACTGAACTCACTATGTTATCAACAACACATACAAAGCACTTCCCATGGCCCAGACATGATGCCCAAATAGGAATACAGTTACAAACAGGACTGGTCAAGTTTCTGTCCTCATGGAGTTACAGGCTTTATGGGGAAGACTAACAATTATACCAAAGTGGAAAGTGGAAAAAGACAAGACTTCTCAAAATGTTGTGAACAACTTCATTTTTGGTCATTTGTTTGCTTTATTTTTCATCTTTGCTTGGTTCCATTCATAACCATGAGTT